TATATATATATATTCTTAGAATTATATGATTTAGTTGTATATTTTATGTTTCGTTACCATATAACTACGTTTCAGTTACCATATCTATATATGTATATTCTCTGTTATTATAAATCATTTTACTGATGAGTACAGTTCGAAGATGAGAATCGAAGAGTCAGATCGTTGAACACCTGGACTGTTACCCATCTAAATTAATCAGTTAATTCATTGTACTTTAATGACTGTAACTTGTAGTGGCTGATTGTTATGCTTATGTTACATGAATATTTTCCTGTTACGTGTTAAGTTTCATTGAGTTTCTTTACGTGTAGTATATTTAAAAGAATTATTGTTATTCCGCTAATATTGTCTGGTTTTCTTCCCTGGGATGTAATGCTGCTGTTAACCAGTTAGTATTACAGAATCCATATATATATATAGATTCATAGTCCTGAATTTATTTCGATTCTTTTTGTTTCTCTAATGTAGAAGTATTTCTATGACTACAGCATGCAAAAGTTGTGCTGCACTGGCAAGAAACAGACGTCAACCCATCTTGTTGTACATGATTTCAGTGAAAGATACCACAGATAAATAGGGAGAGAAAGAAAAACTGAATCAAGCGAGAATTTTTATTTTCTACGTCAGGACGTGAGCATTCGCCTGTTATATGTGTTATATAATTTTTTCACTGAAAATTACCCGAAAATGACGTGGGTACTACGAAAGTCTCCAATTATGTTTTAATGGCATTTTAAGCCAAAAACCAACAAAAAAAAGTATTAAATATTTTTCTTTGGTGAGCTGCACTGTTTACATTACTTATTTCTTTAGATAATTATTAGAAATAAATTAACTGATTAAAATTTTATTAGCCATATAACTGTCCAGTAAACGTAAATTGAGCAATATCAACTGAACTTATTTCAAACCCCAAAAAAAAGTTCATCAAAAATCTATATTAAATTATTATTCGTTTCAACACAGTATTCTCGAGATTGTGAAGTTACTGATGCAGCAAATAAAGAGCTCCTTCTATCAACAAATGACATATTCACAGATTATAAGTTTTCTTTCCTTCGATAACAAACCATATAATATATAGTAAACTCTTATCACAACTTAATTCAATGGATAAAAAACGTTCGTATATAATGCATGATCTATTTCTGACGCAGACTTTTTAGTAATGCTTCTAACATTCATTATCGTTACTCACAATACTGGTGGCATAATGTCGTCAAGAAAAGAATCTTAAAAAGTTCACACTACAATTTTTAATCATGTAGATTAAAGTTATTATTCAGCCGCTGGTGTCTGCAACCGAGTTCCTAATGAATAAGTATGTTGATCATCATATTAATTGTTGTCCTCATAATTCAAACCACAATACCATTTAGCTATAGATATGGATCTACCTACACTTTGCAAGTTAGTCATTCCTTTCAGTATAATTCCGCTTCTTCCAATGAGGTTGAACTTGAAAGGTAAAGGATAAAACATTTATTACTGGCGACCACAAGCTCGAAATTAACTGAACACATGCTAGTCAGTGCCCTCTAACGTATAAAGTGTTTCTTTTATATTATGTTTAATTATTTTTTTAATAGAACTACTTAATAAAAAATATTTCTTTCAATAATTTATATTTTCATGTAGCAGAATTGCTTTTAAACTATTAATTTTTCAAGGAGTACTATAATTACGAGTGAGGCCAACAAATTACGTAACAAACAAAAAACAAGACAAGCTAAACATCTTATTAGGGAGTTTGAAATATATTGATATAGGCGACCTAATACTTAATGAAACACATTTGGGGAACAGGTTGGCGTTGTGGTAGAGCTCTGTATTTCCAAACTGACAAGCCTTGTTCGAAAATACAAATACACATTTTTTCCTGACTTAACTGCCCTTTTTTTGCTGTGAAGTTTATTTAGGTAGATATATTTTATAAAGCGTTAAGAAGTTAAATGAAGGAATTGGTCGTGTCAACATTACTTTTCATTTGTAATGTTTCTAGTTTCATAACAATCAAATCTTTCGTATGGGGTAATTCATAATAAGAATACTTAGAAACCACAGCTTGGCCGGGTGTTTTATAGTATGTGAAATTATATGAAACTGAATAAAAATATACAAGTCTACAATATAATTATCATGCCTTATTGTGCTAGCGACAAGGCACGACAAAAATTTGAACCTAAATACCTAAATGCATTTTGATACAATACAAACCATAGGTTCAAATCAACTCTTACTAAAATTTGGATAAACTAAAACATATAAAAATTGTATCGGAAAACAATTACAGTTTAGTTTGTGCCCATAGAGAAATCACGTTTGTAAACATTTTATTTTTGACTTTGTAGCATCATTATAAGGGCTCTTCCAAACTGCTGAAGTTCTGTCTTTACTATGTTGAGAATTAAGCTGGTACAGCCACAGTTGTTTGTGAAGAAGTGCAAGTACGTAACATCTCAGATAAACGTTGGGTAGATTTGTAGCTATAAGCAACAGCCAAATGTCAAGGGAATGAATTACTTTTTAGAAGCAATTTCAGATATTTACACTGTACAGGCTTGTGTTCAGCTAATACCTTCACAGCTTCCTGAACAGGGAACCATTTCCTCTTCCGTCCTGTGAGAAAAGTAAAAAGTAATTATACATTTTTTTGTCAGAAATTTACAGTAACTTACAGTAATGGCTTATATCTTCTATACTAAAAAATGTGAAAATATGCTGAATCTCATAAGATACCTACCTCACTGTAGGCTATAACCACATTGAATATTAAAGCAGTTTGAAACAATAAGTTAAGAACTAAAAAAAGCGAGATGTAATTCTAGCATACCGACAAGTCCCGGCATGGACAGGTGGTCAGGGCGCTTGACTCGCAACCTGAGGGTCGCGGGTTCGAATCCCCGTCCCACCAAACGTGCTCGCCCTTTCAGGCGTAGGGGCGTTATAATGTGACGGTCACTCCCACTATTCGTGGGTAAAAGAGTGGCCCAAGAGTTGGCGGTGGGTGATGATGACTAGCTGCCTTCCCTCTAGTATTTCACTCCTAAATTAGGGACGCCCTACTGCAGCTTTTCGGTAAATTCAAAACAAATCACAAAGTAAAAAAAGAGAAGCTTTGTAAAAATTGTGTTCAGTTTTAATCTGAATTTAGGTACAACCGTGAACCATCGAAGAAGACACCAGGATATTTCAAAACGGTTTAACCTGGACTTTGACTTAATTATTATTTTTGTAATTAAGATTCTACATTTTTATTAATGGCTAGTTATTTGTGGAGAATAAAGGGTATTAAAAATCATATTCGTAAGTTACAATTCACCTTTATAACAGGTCTGATTTTGTTCAGGGTTATTGATGGGGAAGGGGATATGCTGGGTCTCACATTTTCTTATCACTAAAATACACAATTTTGATGGTAAGATAAATTATGACTGTTTTTTTTTCATTGCTCGGTTTGTCCTTAATGAAAGATATAATTTCATTTGCGATACTAAAATATAGGTATGCGTATTGATAATATACTTATGAATGAGACACAGTTTGTTAGATGTCTTACAATTTAAGTGCTAAAACAGTCAAAAAATGTTTGCCTCTAATGTTTTTATTTGTTTTTATTTTGTGAAACGCTAAAAAAACAATGTACGGTAAAATTACGGACATACAACGCTAAAATCCGGGGTTCGATTCTCCGCAATGGACACAGCAGATAGCCCAAAATGGCTTTGCTCTTAAACAACCCACTTACCAACTCACTCCCTAATTGGTTTGTTGCTACTACATCTGGTATAAATATAACTTGTTAAATATGTTTCTGGCCAGGTGGTTAGGGCGCTCGACTCGCAATCTGAGGGTCGCGGGTTCG